GGGTTTTTTTTGTTTGTTTGTTTTGTTTTGGTTTTTTTTCTCTTTTAAGTATTTATTATAAGGCAGATGTATTTCTTATCCAGTTACTTGAATAATCAATAGGATACTTGATTACTAAAATATTCAATAGCTGCAGCTTTTATTATTTAATAGTCTCAGGGCTCGCAAAATCGCTATCCCGACGTCCCGGGGCTAGCAGTTTTTTCCGGTCGGGCTACCAAAATCCATCCCAGCCCTGCCCATCAGGCTATCATAGGAAGAAAAAATATATGTCAATACTTTTGCATCCTTTCGCAAACGTAGCTGGGTAATGTTGTCATTGGCATCGAAGAGCCACTGTCAGTATGTGACATAATGAAATCGCGTTTAAATTTGCGCTTTTTTTTTTTTGTTTTTGTTTTTTTGCTTCACGTTCACTTTGCCATTGCCCAAACTGTGAATAGAGAGCGGCAGTACTGATTGGTGAGTGACAGATTAATTCCTCTCCAATTCCTTATCACTCGTTAGCTTACTATGCAAATATGACAAGTGAAATCTTCCGCAGCAAGCTTAAACATGTCATAGAGGTTGATTGTGCAGAGAATTGCTGATCATTATGCAAGTGCCTGTGTAAAAGCAGATGGATTTACGCAGGTATTTTAGTTCTGCAGAGCCAAATAAGACAGGTCAGGGTGAAGAGGGGACAGCCAAAGAAAAGCCGACCACAAAATGGAAAAGTTATGACAAATCAGACTATGAGGCAAAAAGAAAGTGCAGCTTTTTTGGTTTCATGGACAAAAGAATTTCTGTGGCTGCAATATGACGAGCTAAATAACATAAAGTTCTGCCGGGTGTGTCATTAGTTTCACTCGATTTCTGAGTCGACAAGTGCCTTTGTTACTGGGACCAGTAATTTTAAGAAAGACCCCATCAGAACCCTTGAGAAATGCAAGAAATGCATTATTGCTCAGTCTACAGTATCTTTCCCTGAACAAACGCCAATTACAAAAAACATATGAAAAATAAACTAAGCACAACAAGAAGTCCTGAAAAATCTGTTTAGAACAGCGTTCTGTTTTGCAAAGAGTGAACTACCTTTGGCAAAATTTAGCAGTCTTTGCAAGCAAAGCAAACAAAGCAAATGGCCTAGATCTTGGTTCCACTTACCTCTTACCATTATATTTTTCTATTTTCGTTCACTGCTGTTGTGAACTATATAAATAAATGGATGTGAAAAAAGCTTTTCTCTCCTCATATATGGATGTTTACATGACTCTGGACCAGCGTGTTTGATCCTCTGAAATGAGGCTCACTGTGTTTTATTTGGTGTGTTTAGGTCCATCCAGCTGCAGCTGAACATCGGTGTGGAGCAGATCAGGGTGGTGCACAGAGATGGACGTGTGGTCACGCTGTCACACCAGGAACAGGAGCTGCAAGACTTTCTCCTCTCACAGGTAACACCAGTAACTTCCACAGTTATTGGAGGAGGCTGAATTTACTAGAAGCATGGCTGCACACTGTTGACTGTAATGCTTCAGTATTTAGTTCTGCGTATGCCTGCCTTCTTTTCACAGATGTCGCAGCATCAGGTACATGCAGTTCAGCAGCTGGCTAAGGTGATGGGCTGGCACGTCCTGAGCTTCAGTAACCATGTAGGTCTGGGCCCAGTGGAGAGCATCGGAAATGCCTCCGCGGTCACTGTTGCCTCTCCCAACGGAGAGTACGCCATCTCAGGTGAGACTGATGGCTCTCGGATCCTCAGGTTTCTCTGTAGTAGGAAGAGCATATTAGCAGCAGCAACTCAGTACTACTCATGCCTCTATGCATGAGACATTCAGGCTCTCCCTTAGCTAACCTCCCCCCAATAAAGGCTAAAATGTTAAAAAAAAAAAAAAAAAAAAATTATAATTTTATTTTATTTTATTTTATTTTTTTTAAAGAAAAGGCAGAAACTAATGTAATAAATCAAGACGACACCCAGTCTGTCAGTTCATGGAAAATTACTCAGGATTAAGCAGACAGGTTGATACAAGTTGGGGAATCTTTGGGAAACTTCCTCTCTTCAAACATCATTGAAATGCATCATGAACCGGTTTCCATGCAACACTCATACTGAATATCTGTAAACACTGAAGAATAATGTGTGGCGAGACAAGAGAGAAACTTTATTGTCATTGTTTAAAAACAACAAAAGTCTGCTCAGCAGCTCTTTATCATTATGCAGCAAAGTAAATAACTGTCAGTGGTTTTTCATCAAAGTTTCTTTTCTCTTCAGTACGTAACGGCCCAGAGAGCGGCTGCAAAGTTTTGGTGCAGTTCCCTCGCAGCCAGATCAAAGAGCTGCCAAAGAGCGACGTCATCCAGGACGCCAAGTGGAGCCACCTCAGAGGGCCGTACAAAGAGGTCCATTGGAGCAAGATGGAGGGCCGAAACTTTGTCTACAAGATGGAGCTCCTCATGGCGGCGCTGACTCCCTGTCCTTAGGTGCTGACTCTGTCTGCTGACTCCTCCCACACACAAAATAACAGTTTATTTAAAGAGGACAATCTTCCTTCATAGACTCTCTTCCTCACATTTGAAAGAATCGACAGCACTTTCGTTTATTTTATTTTTTAACCAACTTGTGGACCGCCGTAAAGTCTGTCCACACAAGTGTCCTCTGCCTGTTGCTTATAGTGTAAGGTGTGGACTGTGTGTATATACCTCAAACAGTTTGATACAAAATAAAAAGCAGTCTGTCTATATATATTTGTCCTTTTTCTTAAGAATACAGCTGTGGATCAAAGAGACACTGTTTATAAAACTGAACTTAGGGATTTGCCGGTTCAAACTTTAAATTTGACCACATTAAGTTCAATGTTGTCTTAGGTGTGTGTGTGTGTGTGTGTGTGTGTGTGTGTGTGTGTGTGTGTGTGTGTGTGTGTGTGTGTGTCAGAGTAGATGGGTGAAGTTTTAATACCACTCCATTTGTCTGATGTGACAACATTTTAGATAAACTAACTTTGAGTCTGGACTCTGCACTTTCAGGTGGGGAACCTGAAGTTCCTGTGTAGGCACGAGGGAGGAGAGAGTTCATTAAGAAAGAAATCACAAAATCATTTGCACTGTGAACCGGATATTTTTTCTTTAGGTAATAAAAGAAAAACAATTATTTTCTTTTGTTTCTACATTCATTCATTCTTTATTCCTGCATTCCTTCCTTTCTTCCTTTTCCAGGCCGTGATCAGCTGACCTGTGTTACTGCAGCTTCATGGCTCCGTGTGGATTTAGCAAACTGCAATTACTACTTGACTGCTTTGGACACAACTTTATTTACATTACTTTCTGATTTGCTGAGCCAGTATCATCAAGGCCTCAGCTGAAACGATCACCAGCCTGCAGCACACAAAAGCGAAACTCGTTTTTTGTTATCATGAAATAATCTGATTTAATTGCTTATTAATGAAACCAGCCCAGTTTAACCCTTGGTCATGAGTAAAATAAAGTCACACAGTTTCTTTGCTTAGAGAATAAATACAAGATTTATTGTGTTCCTGTATCATCGGTGGTATATTCACTCATTCAGTGACAGTCATCTGTAAATATCAATATCAGTACAAAATATCAACACAGTGCAGGTGTTCATAACTGACTGGTCATGCTTTGAGCTGTAAGTAACTAGAGTATATAAAGAGGACAGTTTGATGTACAAAACATTCCACCTTCAAAAGTATGTCCTCATGTTGTATCACTGACAGCTTTGATTGGCCATTTCAGGTGAGTCATCACTCAGACGTTCATTATCTGCAGCTCAGTCACATCGTTTTCTGCAAAAAAAAAAAGGGATTAAAGTGTCAATACATGATTAAGACAACAAACAAAGCTATAATAGGTCTTCACAGACCTTTGCACTCAAACACGCCCTTACTGTGATACAATGATAGAGTCAAACCATAGTCAACCATCACACCCTTCAACATATATTTATTCTCCACACAATCATGCAGTGGTAAGAAGAACACATTTTAACTTTAGATAAAACAACACGCTCACAAACGTTTTTATGCGGAAAATTGTCTTCTTTATTATTTCACCCATTACCTAAAAAAGCAGCCACACTTCAGACACTGTATCAGGTTTTATTTGCCTCCTATATGAAACCAGTTTGTAACTTATTTAGTAGTAGCCTTCAGGAATAGTTCTCCTATGGCTATTCTTTGGATTTGGCTGCTTCGTGTTCTGTTCTCTCTGAAGATGATCCCACACTGCTTCAATAATATTGTGTCAGGACTCTGAGGAGGCCAGTCCATGACTGATGGTGTTCCACTGTGTGTTTTTCTATCCAGGTGTGCATTTACTGTGCTAGCAGTGTGTTTGGGATCATTGTCATGCTGAAAAATTAAGCTGCTGTAAGTTTCCAGATGGTATAGCACAGGGGTAGGCAACTCCAGGCCTCGAGTGCTGGTGTCCTGCAGGTTTTAGATCGCACCCTGGGTTAACACACCTGAATCAAATGATTAGTTCATTACCAGGCCTCTGGAGAACTTCAAGAAATGCTGAGGAGTCATTTAGCCCATTAAATCAGCTGTGATGGAGCATGGACACATCTAAAACCTCCAAGACACCGGCACTCGAGGCCTGGAGTTGCCTACCCCTGGTATAGCATGATGGATCAGAATCTGATGGCACTCTTTCTGTGTTCAAAATTTCTGCCCCAAACTTCTGCATGACAGAACTTTATGACTAAACCTGCACCAAGAGTTCATCCTCAGCACCAGGGAGAGTTTTGGGGAAACTGGCCTGCAAATGTGCCCTGAAATCCCTGAAAGCAGCAGGTCTGCCATGGACTACCTGTTAAACTGCATGTAGTTCAGACTATGCCTGTTTAGTGCAGACAATAAAGTATTGCATGAATGTGTATAAAGGTGTCCTGTAGTGTTTCCATTATCATTGCCACAAAAATGTAATAAATTCTGTAAAACACTGGATATTTGCAGGAGAAACAGACACACAAATCTTTTTATCTTTTTGTTTTTATTTGTTTTGGTTACATAGTTGTCCTCCATGTAGAGTGACCTATTTTGGTTATGAACGTTTTCAGCACGTATCCATACAAGAAATCAGGGAAGAATATGTTTGAGCAATGCCAGCAATCCAAAATCTTCTGAATGGGTATTCACAAGACATTTCCAAGTTGCAAACCTGTTTTTCTGGCATCACCTGAATGCACAATCATTGACACCATTAGAGGATATTCACTGAGATGGATTCTGCTGTTTACACATGGCTTTACCTGGCATCTCTCTCCTGCGCTTGCATGCCATTATCTTCTTGTAGGCCTTGTCCAGGAGCCACATGGTGAGCATAAGAAGGCTGGCCAAGCAGGCCAGGGCCAAAAAAGAGACAGTAAGGTACTGAAGGTCCTCATACAGAACCTCTGTAGGACAGAAACACAGGAGCCACATCTTATTTACTGCAAACTGAACTGCAAATAGGGCTGATCTGTTTATTAAAGATACTTTTTCATCATGTTCACTTGTTAAAAAAAAGACTTCCCCTCTTTGGTCAATCCATATGTTCTTCCTTCCTGCATTCATTCCTCCCTAAAATTATCACAGCACATGTGCCATTCTTCATTCTTCATTTTCATAGTTTATTTGCTTTAGAGTTACTCTGTCTGGTGTGGAAAACAGTTCTGAGCCTGCCTCTAATAACCACAGACGCCATGTTTGGGAAATCTGGGCAGGGCGTTTGTCGTCTTTAAATCCAAACAACTGTTACCACAATGCCAGTCAGACTACGTCAAACTGAAGCCGAGGGCTTTTGTTGATGCTCTAATCACGATTAGTGCTGCTTTTTTAAATCCTGTGAAGAAATTCTTTGTACAGGTATGACAGAAGTGCTGTTAATTACCTTAAGCTTTAAAAACTGAGCTGTTCTGCCAGGACTGTTTCTTTCTTTTATGCTCTTTTTCCCTCGTTGTGTGTTAGTTTTCTGTTTTGTTTTTTAATGTAAAGACTCTCACCATTTACTTTTAGGACGAAACCAAAATCCTTGCTGCTCCCAGTTGATTCTGTGATGGTGACCACGTAAAATCCACCATCCTGCAGCCGCAGGTCTGACAGGCCCATCGAACCGTTGTCATAGGCCTGCACTCGGCTGCTGTAGTCCTCCGTTATGTTGGTGTACCCCCCCGGCTGCCAGGCCCCTATCGTCCGGCTCACCAATCCTGACATAAAAGTCCATTGTATGTTTGGGATCCCGCTACAGGTGAAATTCACTGAGAAGATCACATCGTCCTGCACTGAGCGGATCAGGCTCCTCTGAGGAGAGTATATGGAGATGGCTCCAGCTAAACAAACACATGAACATACATGCATACATTAGTCTGTATTCTCTGGGTTATTCTAGAATCAGCTGAATGTAAGTAAGTCAAAGGGAAATTCTGCTTTGCATCAGAAGAAAATTAACACAGCAGCAAATTGCAAAAAGAGCCTCAGTGATCCAGACTCTCCTAAAGTCCTAAAGTTGTTTGAGTAAAGTGGTACTTCCAAACTATTATACAGGACGTGAACACCAGTGTTGTTTCTTCCTTCAACAGCCATAAGCTGCGTTCACAGGTGGTTAAATTACAACATGTCGAACTGATTCTGGTATCAAAATACATGTAAAGGGAGACCTTTCCTGTGCTATAACTTGTTTTATCCAGCCACCTATCCTGCAAGGTGATATGACCTTTAAAAGTTTACCCAAAATGCATTTTTTAAACTTTTCTCGAATTAATGATCAGAAAACAGATCAAACATCCAGGACACCAATACATGTGTCATAACATGGCAGAGAGAGGACCCAAGCATCGGGCACGTAGGCAGATTCAAATGATAATGAGCCTTTACTTGGCTGAGACAGGACTACATACTGGGCAATATCTGGGGATTCGAAAGTCAATACATACAGGAAGTAAGAAGTGGAAACAAGACACATGAGAAAAGTGTCTATCAAAGTAAAACAAGAAATAAACACACAAACAACAGTACTCAGAATAAACAGGATCATAGAAACAGACGACTCAGCTGGAGGAACAAACACTAACATGACAACTGAACCAGAGCCCAGTGATATCACTTCACAAAATCTAAAGTCAGAGTTACTAGAAGCAGAATTCATAGAAAACACTAGAGTACAGATGAAAACAGCTCAAAACTGCAAGAGCATGACAAATATTTCTGTTACTCTTTAGCTTTAGAATTAAATTAATGTGGCTCATACCGTGTACATTATAACATACCATAATAGACCCATTTCTGTAATATACTCACATATCTATATTATTGCTAATATATATTGTAATATATCTATATCACTAAAGCACTTCTGGATGGATGCAAACTGCATTTCGTTGCCCTGTACCTGTGCATGTGCAATGACAATAAAGTTGAATTCTATTCTATTCTATTCTATTCTCTGCTGTTGAAAGTAAGACATATGTCACGATATCTTATGTTAAGGTGGTTATGAAAAAGAAACAAAATCAAGATCTTGGCTTTAGATTACAATGTTCCAACCTTTGTATTTCAACGGACTGTAACTCAAAAAATATTCAAACTATGAGGATAACATTTTTATCATTAGATAGACAAATAAAAGTTTCTATTCTATTCTATTCTATTCTATACGGATGTTATTTTAAAGAAAAATCTGTTGATTCTCAGTGGTGGGGGGAGAGACTTGAGTCACAGTGATAGCAATTAGAGTAGAAACATGCTGGTGTGTGACACAATCGAGCGCCATAAAAAGGACTCATTCCACCATGACACGGTTAGCTGCTGTTCCTGACAAACACTGTGGCATGTCTCCTGCTCTGCCTCTGCTCTGTCTGATCCCCCACCCCCATCCTCTTTTCCCCAGAGGATTAAAACTAGTCAAACTAGCTGGGAGGTATCAGAATGAATATAAGAGGCAGTGTGTTTAGGCCAAGCTTTAATGCATATTTTCACGTGCGTGTCAGGGAGAGATCTGGTTCTGCTGGTGGTGTGTTTGTTTAATGAAGCAAGAATTTAAAATGAAAAATACTAGCGCTGACTGAGAAGCAAGTCAGTATGGGAGAGATCTTTTTGTCTGGGCTCCCCCCCCCCAAAAAAACCTTTTACCAACAAACCCCGACTGACTCTTTCCTTATTTTTCTGTTAAGAAATCACATAAATACTTTTTAAAGCAGCCCTGATGTCTTCTTTTGACTGTTTCCTGCACCCTGGTTCGCTTTTAATTTTGCTACTTTTGTTTTGTGTTTCCTGAGATTTGGTTTAGATTCAGATTTTTTTGGAAACAACACTTCTGGGCATTCGGATGTTATTTCTAGGATCGTTATGTCGGTAGGACACAGCTTTATAGGTTCTGAAGCCTTGAGTGGTTGCAGTTTTATAGTTCAGATAAGGTACTTTGCAATCTTCAGCTTTCTGACTGTCACGTGGTTGCAGACACGATACAGCCAGAGAAAGAGAGAGTGGGCTCATCGTGTTATAGAGCGGGGGCTTGACTCCTCGGGACCTCAACAATAGAAACAGATCAGACGCTACGTAATAAAATCCCTATCATGCTTCAGCACGGTTTCATGGCTACATGCCTGAGCTCTGCTTAGATAATATTAGGGAATATTGACCTTTTTACTTCCCACTTCTGCCATGATCGCCTATATTTACTTTCTACTGACAGGACCGAAACTTCATCCAACATTTCAAGTGTTAAACAAACATAGGTAGGTCGTACCACAAAGATAAAGCAGCAGAATTAGGAATGTGTTGAGCTTACCTAGGTGGCACATATATAACATGATGCTGAGAAAAACAGCAACATCTTGTATTTCCCAGAGCCTGAAATGCCACATTAGGATTCCAGACCCATCTGTCGAACTGCTGCAGAAGAAGCTTCCCGGGTTTATTTTACATTTTGTAGCATTCTCCTCGCCTTTCACCTTTTCCCATGGTTTCTTCTTCTTCTGTTTGTCTTCCTGGAGTTTCTGAGAGTTGTTCTTCTATTGCTTTCCTTCTGCTTTTCAGGAATGCAAAAGCTTCCCTCCTCTCTCTCAAGACTGTGTTGGATTTGACTTCATATCTGCGCAAGTCACTGCCAGCCAGCCCACACCTATCAGACAGGTTGAGCCGGAGATTACTGAGCAAACATGTAGTCCTTGTGTGGCAGTGCTCTCTCGCACACTCACACACAACTGAAGGCTGAAAGCCGTTGAGCAGTATATTCTAATTTACCTATTGCAACCACTTACTTGTCTATCTACAGACACACTGTCACAAAATGAAAGTGGGACAGGTGGAATCAAGTAGCGACACACCTGGCAAAACATGTCAAACAGGAAGTACTGTATTCACATGTATGCACCTAAAAAACACACACAGTGACAGTCAAATGAAACTTCCCTTTAGGAGGCATATTAAAGCTGACTGTCTGTAGGTAACCCAGGTCTTATTTCTCGCTGTTACTTAGTTTATAATCATTTTAGACTCTAAGGGTGTTTTTTTAATGAATTTATGCGCTTACCAAGACCAGTGTTAGACAAGGCAATAAAAATCCAACATATATAAATGAAAGGAATATTAAAAACAAAACAAAAGAACAAGTTGGATACCAATTTAAACCCATACAAGACTGAGTTACAACATCAAAATTAAATAAAATAAAACAAACATTTGGCTCCAAGGTCGAGAATAAATTACATTAACCCAAGAATAAAATTTCAAAAGTAGGAAATAAAATACAATGTGGCCACGTAGACATGTATCAGTTTAGTGATAATATAATTATATTGCTGATATTTATATATAAATTATAATGATTTATAAAAACTACTTGCAAACCAATTTACAAGTAGAGCCCATGTGATACTCAATTGCAACACTGCAATAAAATAAAAGACTCCTCCATTCCCTAGTTAAGAATGAATAAAAATGAATAAAAATAAAATGTACAGTATGATTAAAGATAAACTAAATACCCATTGTTACAAAATGTGACGTAACACATAAGTAACAAAGAAAGCACTGGCATCAAACATGTTACATCATAGAATAACAAACAAAAAACACTCAGAGTATTTGTACATGGATGAACAGAGAGTTGGTTGTAGCTCAGTTAAATGGATGGCATCTGTTAAAGCATGAGGTGCTCTGTGAAGAATTCCATTACCATAAAAGCCAGAACACTTGGTAGATTTATGGTTAGAGATGAATGAAGTTAAAGAAATAAGCTTCAAAATCCTAAATGAGATATAATAAGGTCTTACTTGGATGTGAGTGACTGTGTATTGTGTGGGAATAATGTATTTGTTTTTGTGAATTACTGCAGTCTGCCTCGAACAATATTTGCAGCTCACTACAAGACAAGAAATCTGAATTAAAATAAAAAGATCAGATCAGATATACTTTGTTAATATTAATACTAATACTAGAACAACTAATGTTACTGATAATTATAATAACAGTACCTCCAGCAACAACAGTAATCACTATAATAAATAAAAATAATACTGATTGTAAAATAAGAGCCGTGCATAACATACAAAAAATAAATGTTAAACTTAAAGAGCACGTGACTAATCAAATTTAGAGCATGACTTTGTTTTAATGTGAAATAAATTTAAGACACATAAATTCGTACGTGTTAAAATGAAACCATTCGTAAACTGATGGTTGAAGGAGTGTAACCGCCAGCTGTAGGAGTCTTTCTTTACTCAATTTTTGTAAGTGTGACCCTTTTTATTTCCGTGGCAAAGACTATCATTAATTATTTTTTCATTTTATTTATTTATTTTTATTATTTTCTGTGTCTACAATTAATTTTTGTATTTTCGCATGTCCGTTAATTGATTTATTAATTAAAAACAAAAAGTTCCGGTTACTAGCGTCCAAGCTCACGACCTCTGTGCATGTTCGAACTTCACGCGCTCGCGCTTTTGCACATGAGAAACCCTTGAAGCTCTGAAGGTGACTTCTGGTAAGTTCATTTTTACTAAGTGGCATTTTGTTTATCTAATCCGACGTTGCTGTTATGTTCTGATAAAAGTTACCAAGCGGTAAATTATGGTCGTGCATTTCTTGTCTTCGACCAAATTTCTTTGTGACGCAGCACGAATGTGGGGATTAGCTAAAATAGCGAGCTAGCGTGCCTAAATTAAGCCGTTCTGAGTTTGTAATAAAACTTCAAATTTTTGTGTTTTTGGTGAATTAATACGTGTCCCCACATGAAATTGCTCCAAGTGCGCTAAAGGCATATTTACTTATTATTACTTTGTTTTTTTTTCGTCCCCTAATCACCTTTCTCAGCGATTTCGCCATGTCGCTTCCACGTGTACTACAGTGCCCGTGCTCACGTGCATTGTAGCAGTCACAAACTGAGTGGACGCTTTTATAAGTTGTCAGTTTGATTTGACACAGCTGTGTGAGAGTGGAGGAGTTGAGATAAAGTTACTTTAACCCTAACATGTGTTTTTGTTAAATCTGTGGACACTTTTATGGAGGGTCTGTGCTCGTGTTATTTGTTAATTCACTCTGCCTTATTTTACAAACTGTACACGTAAAAAAAAGTGACCGGAGTTTACCCTTTATCTGTAGTCAGACCTATTCGCCGTCACCTGCTGCTTTAACCTGCAAATTTCTTTGCTGGGTTTTGATTTGGGGCATGAAGAGTGCAATTAACCCTCCGCGCCACCAGAGGCCGCTAGTGAAGCGCCGTAATATATGTATTCTAACTTGAATCATTAAAACAATAATTTACATAAGCAGATGGGCTTGTTCCGTTTTGTTAAGTTAAAATAACACTCACTTGGCGTATTGGGTCTAGGTTGCGGCGTTGATGTGCTTAAAAATGCAGTTTATTTCTTGTTTTGCGCTTTCGTTTCCCATTGGAGTGACGCGTACCACGTGTACCGGAAGGCAAGATATTATTTATTTGCGAACGTCAGTAGACATAAATAAAACCGGATTCAACATAACACTGGTTATACCTAATCTGATGACCTTATGGCTACCGTTTTATGTCTTGAAATATGTCTTGAAATTTTTCCGAACCGTCAGTGAGGGAGACTGTGCGGGGAGTGACTCCGTCTGCTCCGACGTATTCCCGGTATCGCTTCTCGGCCTTTTGGCTAAGATCAAGTGTAGTATCTGTTCTTATCAGTTTAATATCTGATACGTCCCCTACCCGGGGACCATATATTAAATTGATTTTTGGAACAGGGAGATGGAATAGGGGCTTGCTCCGTCCACTCCACGCATCGACCTGGTATTGCAGTATCTCCAGGAACGGTGCACCCCCCTAAACATGTGGAAAAACAGTGAAAGTTTGTCCAGGTGGTCACAGCACCAGTGTAACAGAGAGTCCTCGCGGTTTCTTGTGGCTGATCACCAATTTTGGAGTATTAGGTTATTATTATATTAAGTTGCAACACACCAACAATGCAAACACATAGTTGCTGCAGACAAAGCAGCACACTCTTCCATCTACAGTGGGAAACAAAACCACATCTACATTTATTGTCTTTAAGTCTTCTATTGATCATTTTCCAATATCCTTTTCTATATATTGGCACATTTATTTCAGTAGAAACAGAAAGCAGCTTGTGATTTAGAGCTATTTCTCATATTTTGTAGGCTTTGTAATATATTATATTATTTAATTAGTTCAGTCTGTTACTGTTATCCTCTTGGAGCAACTGTAACCCACACAATTTCCTTAAGGATTATTAAAGTATTCTGATTAGAGAAGAAAAAGGTGCAGTGCTGGTGGATAATATTTTTATTTTTCTTGCAGTAAATATTTTTATTTTATTTAACCTTCATTTATACAGCTAGTTCCAGTGAGACTAAATGTCTTATTTACAGTAGTCCAGTCTGCTTCTTAACCATCTATTATTTTCTCAAGTAGAACCTGGGTCGTCTTTATGTGTTTCACTGAATGTGCCTGAGAGAGAAAATGTTAAACCCTAGTACGTGTCTGCCTGTGTCCAGTGACGTATAACAATCTCTTGCTATGAAAACTGTTCTGTTGTTCATGAAATAAGTGGCTGTGTCACCCAGCAGCTCTCTGTGGGCTGTGGGTTTGGTCTTTATGTATATGTTTATTATCCAAAGCGCTTTTCTCTTAAAGTTGGCTCATTCCTTGGTAATCTGACTATGACTATATCAGCTGCATCTATTGGGTTATTTTGGTAATAGATTGATCTGTTGATGTTTTTTTTTTTACCCATCATCTGTTTCATTTTTCTAAAAAGACCCCCAAACCTTTTGTATTTACGTGACATCTGAAATTGTAATTTTTTAAAGAAAATATTTTCTTAGCTGCCAAAATATATAAATGCGCTCAAGTAAAGTCAAAGCCAAATAAAGTAAGATAAATATGCAATCTAAAATAAGATATAAAAAATGAATCTTTACTGTCTTCGTGGAAGGCTTTGTGATTTTTGTTCATGCGTCTGCTTGTTTAAGTGTGCAGTGAATTTCTGTCTGTAAGCCTTTAAAGGAGAATGTGGTGCCTGCAATGCAGCGATGCGAGTAGATCAGCAGTCTGAAGTTTGCCTTTGATGCAAAGTTTTTATGCTGCTGCAAACAAGATGTTATGATGGTGTAGACATTAATTAATATTAATAATAATTTAGTGTCCAACGTAACGTCACTGTTGCTGTGGTGATGTCAGTGCTTCTTTTCAAAACTGGGCCCTGTGTTTGCTTAATATTGTCAGACTTTTTATTCACACGCTGCTCCTAAATCCCTTTGTATCGCAGGTCTGCTTTTAGTCGCAAATGCATGTGAAATGCACGCGTTTACATCCTTGAACACATCGGCAGGCTACAGAGCTGGGCATTAAATGAAGCAGCGAAGCAAAGACTGTGTTGAGGATTGTTTATAATCCAATTTTTCAAAATACTTGATGAATCGCTGCAGCCCTATTTCGCTGTAAGAAGTGTAATTCTTGCAAAATGCATGCATTGAAGTAACATTTAAAGTAAGAAAAGGCTTCGGCTCTTCTGTAATAGGTTTTGTATTTGATTTTGGATCTGGACAGTTACTGAGGGTCGCCTGTGAGACGAGGGAGAATAGTAGGAAATATTGATCCAGCTATCACCCCCTCATCGTCTTGTTTCCTGTCACTGCAAAAGTGGACAGGAATGCTGCTCTGCAGAATGTCCGATGTAGTTCCAGATATCTGGCTGATAGCAGCATCTCATCTTGACCATTTGGTGCCATTTGTTTTTCTCTGCAGCTGTCGTGTATTTCACCAAGCATGACATTTATATTTGTTAGTTCAGGTGTACCACATACTTCTCTTCCACTGGCTGGGATGTCCTCTCTAAGAAGGAGAAGCATACTTCTGCAGTCATGGCAGTCCAGGCTTTGTTATGTGCAGAAGGGCCTAAACTCAACTCCAGCTGCAGCATTTGTTCTTGGTCCCTGTGAGCTGCAGGGAGCTCATGCGGTGGACTCGTCCTTAATCTGTGTTTTCTGATAGGTCAGTCGATCTTGTCTTTCTCACTGTTATCACTGGTCAAGGTGAACATTCAGGGTACGGCAAACTTACAACCAGAGAGGAAATGCCCAAAGTATGTGACTGGCTGCAGACTTTTAAAAATGGAATCGCATTGAGTAATCAGATGGCAAGAGCGAGCGTCGGCCAAGAGCAATTAGAAATTGAATGCAGACAGATGTGAATGAATCTCCAATAAAAGCAGTGACAGGTTCAAATACTTTCGTTTGACCTATTGAGTCAAACAATGAGAGTCAAATATTGAGAGGAGTCTGAAGCTGCAGAATGTAGTTTGAAATCATTAAAGTGAGTGTTCCTACTCCGGGACAGTAGGGGGCAGCAGCAGGAGCAGAGTGAACTGTTCAGCAGCAGAGAGCAAAGGAACAGGAAGTGGTTGTGCTGTTAGCAGAAAACGTGTGCGCTTTATGCGTTTTTTCCTTTTTTCTAAACATCAGACGTGAATCAAACAGTTTTCAGCTGCAGTTTGATTTAACTTGGAGTTACCTGAACTTCCTGTTGGTTTGTTGGTGGATTTAAGGAGGTTAAATGGATGAAAAATGTTGATCTTTCAGTTAGCTTTTGTTGTGCAGATGCAGCAATGCATGATGGGAAAGACTCCCTGTATATTTTAAACGAAATAACCTGATGTGGCTCTGTTGGAAGCTCCTTCCTGTGTATATAAATAGTGTGTAGTCCCAGCCTCCTGCAGGCTGTGTTTGTGTTGGTTGTGAGATTGTGAGCACCGTGAGTGTGCAGGGTTTGTGTGTGAAAGAGTCCCCCATGTGTGAGGTGAACAACTCATACTTACCTGGCAGGGGAGATACCATGATCAAGAAGGTGGTTCACCCAGGGCGAGGCTCAGCCATTGCACTCCGGTTGTGCTGACCCCTGCGAATTCCCCAAATGTGGGAATCTCGACTGCATAATTTCTGGTAGTGGGGGACTGCGTTCGCGCTCTCCCCTGATCACATGTTCAAAGAAAACAGAGGAAGCAGATACTGAGGCAGTGTTCTGCGTTTATTAAGGCTCAGAAATCTCCGTTGTTGTGTTATTTGAGGAAGATGTTAGTGAAAGCTTTGTGCTGCACAGTCTTTTCACTGAAGTCCTTTGTGCACTGTGGAGCACACTGTCACCTCCCGAGTGTTCATCCACTTAACAAACAGCAGCTTCTTTTCTAATCCAGGGCAGTTCGTCCCTCTCAGTCGTGTTAGGAAAGTCATTTTTGTCCATGTGCAGAAAGACAGCCTGTTTTTTCCCTTTTCTTTCCTCTAATGGTTCCACAGCAGCCAGCATGTGTGTTATGCAGATTGTGGAAGAGGGCAGGGCTGGTAGAACAGTTAGCCAAAGTGTAGCCACCACCGAGTAAAGAAAATGGTTTAAAGATCTATGACAGACGAGCAGCTCAGACCATAACTTATGTTGACCTCACTCTTTCCTGTGTACACAAAAAACTGTCATGTGTGAGCCGGTGCCCA